AAATAATTTGTTATTAAGGAGTATTTTTTTTATCACTAATCTCCTTCGAAAGTTTGGCAAATATCAAATAAATGAACAACTCTTCCAAATTTATATTTTATACATATGATAATTTAAATATATATATTTATTTTATTAGAATATAATTTTTATTTTTTAACATATATTATTTTTTGATCCAAAATATTTTTATTACCCTCAGAATATGTTTTTATAATTATTGTATATGTATGTTGGAATAGAGGGTGTCACATTGTGTGTCAAGAGAAATATTTTTTTTGGTGATGAAAAATTTTTTTTTTTTAAAAATAATGTTATTGTTTATATAAAAAAGATAAAATTTAAAAAGTTGCAACTTTTCAATTAAAAAAGTGATAAAAAAAAGGAAATAAAGGTTTTATATATCATATTTATTTATATTATTGGCTAAATACCTATTTTGGTCCCTTATAATAATTGTTTGTTTCAATTTAGTCCCACTTTTATTTTTTGTCTCAATTTGGTCCCAAATTAATTAATTGGTCTCAATTTGGTCCCTAATAATTTAATTGGTTTCAATTTGGGACTTCCGTCTAAATTTCTTTAACAGAGTTAACTGTGTGGCCACGTGGATGCCACGTAGATGCATACGTGGATACCACGTGGACGCCAAATTTTTTGAAAATACCTGGAACCAGAACGGCCCGTTCTAAAACCAGAACGGGTCGTTCTGAATGCACTCTTGGTGTGTTAATTTTGCATCCGAAACGGGTCGTTCTAGATGCAAAATTAACACACCACTAGTACATCAGAACGGGCCGTTCTGATTTCAGAACAGCCCGTTCCAAGACTGAGAATAGAATATTCTTTATTAATTTTATTAAAAAAATATAATAATTTTGAAAAATATTTTTTTATGGTAAAAATTTTAAAATTACTTATTTTTATAAAATACAATTGTCTTATAAATAGAGTAATAACTTTTTCTTTTTCTCTTTCTGTCTGAAGAAATATTTAAGTGTCACTTTATAATTTTTTGTAACTTATTTAAAATTAGAGGAATAAAATGATAAAAATTAATAGGATAAATATAATAAAATTATTAATTTATTTTCTTAGATCTGCTCCTGCATATGGTTGTGGTGAAATGTTAGTCCTGTGTATCCTCTTCCTTTACTTCAGGTTCTACCTCTTCAAGAACATGTTGTTGTTGTTGGGGTACATCGTTAATGACTTCAAGAAAAACTACTATGTCATTTCATCCTTTACTGTATAGTGTCAATTTGGTAGTAATTGGTTCACTCCAGTTTGAAATGAAATAAAATCTGCTACCATTGTCTTTAGTGATACATTGCATTGTCGTTAATAATACACTGTATAGCCTAACTGTTTAGCAATTGAAGTTATCAATTTCCATTGACAATATTAGCAAATTCAGTGTTTGAAATACTTTGTACCTTGGGTCTTTTTCCTTCCATGATTCACAACCGTGAACTATAATCATTGATAGTTTATACTTAGCAGTCTGGAACCAAAACGGACCGTTCTGAAACCAGAACGGTCCGTTCTGAAACCAGAACGGTCCGTTCTGGTTTCACTTTTGGTGTGTAAATTTTGCGCCTGGAAAGGGCCGTTCCGAATGCAAAATTAACACACCAAAAGTGTAACCAGAACGGCCCGTTCTTGTTTCAGAACGGGCCGTTCTGGTTCCAGGTATTTTCAAAAAAATTGGCATCCACCTATGCATCTACGTGGCATCCACGTGGCCACACAGTTAACTCTGTTAAAGAAATTTGGACGGAAGTCCCACATTGAAACCAATTAATTTATTAGGGACTAAATTGAAACCAATTAATTAGTTTGGGACCAAATTGAAACCAAAAATAAAAGTGGGACTAAATTGAAACAAACAATTATTATAAGGGACCAAAATAGGTTTTTAGCCTTTTTTATTTTATTGAAAAGTACTTGAATAAAGTGTAGTATTAATTACTGGTATTTTTTTATTCTCTTTAGCATATAAACTTTTATTTCTCTTTCATTGAGAATATTGTATCTAAAAATTAAGACATTACAATTTGTACTTGTGACTTGTATTATGTTTGTTGTGTGTATGTGTTGTCTAACCTTTATTTCTGCACTTGAACCTGGCTGAGTGAGACGTTTTTCACTCCCTTGTTGCTCTATGTGCATTTTATTATGTTGTAGGTAATCATCAACATGAGGATGTTGGTGATAAGGCTTAGGCTTCAGTTGAGCGTGCTCTAATATGATATGTGACATAGGGGCATAGTTAGGCTTAGTTTAGGATTTTATTATTGTTATTTTGTTTTGAAAAAACTCATGTTTCATTTTCTTGTAAGTTTTGCATTTGACCATGATTTAAGTTTACAAATGTTAATCTTTATACTCTTAAGTTAGTGGAATCATTCTTTTGATCCAAAAGATTTTTATTACCCTGAGAATATGTTTTTATAATTATTGTATATGTATGTCGGAATAGAGGGTATCACAGCGTATGTCAAGAGAAATATTTTTTTGTGATAAAAAATATATTTTTTTAAAAAATAATGTTATCGTTTATATAAAAAAGATAAAATTAAAAAAAAAATTGCAACTTTTCAATTAAAAAAGTGATAAAAAAAAAAGGAAATAAAAGTTTTATATATCTTATTTATTTATTATTTTATTGAAAAGTACTTGAATAAAGTGTAGTATTAATTACTGGTATTTTTTTATTCACTTTAGCATATAAACTTTTATTTCTCTTTTTATCACCTTTTTAGCTGAAAAGTTACAAACTTTATCATTTTTTTTTATTTCTCTTTATTTGAAAGTCATGTGGCACTACTATAAATTGTAGTAGAGAAGTGTTAATTGAATCCATAGAGAATATACACTATTGTTTAAGTCAAGATAGCTTCACTCAGAATTAGAATGGCTTCCATCAAGATAGCTTTGGCAACGTTGTTTCTTGCTTTAATAGCTTGCAATGGTATTTAATTTCTTTCAACATCTTAATAGTTGAGTATATAAAAACACATATAATTCATATTAATGTTACTCAATTTGTATATCTTTTTGCAGGGCTTGATTTGGCAAGGGCAGTAGTTCATGGTGAATGTGATAAAAATGATGACTGCAAGCTAATTTTATCAAACTGTAAAGGAAAAGGCATTTGTGACAATGGCATTTGCAGGTGTGTCGAGAGCAAAGCATCCTTGGAAGGGTGTCAAACAACTAGTGATTGTGATTTAGTTTGTGGTTTTCCATGCTTTCCTTTATATTGTGACGTAAAAACGGGTGAATGTAAATGTAGCTGTTAAGTGATCGTCTAATTAATAAACTTGCCATTATCAAAGACTTAAAATCTATGCTACAAAATAAATAAGTTTAATAATTAATTATGATTGACTTTGATTTCATGAGATGCTTCAATATTATTATCTAATGATGTAAAAATCACACTTCCCGTAAATGTTAGTGGTTAGCAATAAAAAAAATATAAATAGTGGACAATTTGGGAAAACTGAAAAAAGAAACAATAAAAGCATAATAATATAAATGTTAGAGAGAAAGGGTGATTGGAAAGGTAGTTATAAGAACAAATTTGGCATAGAGACAGGGTGTGCTTACTAAATTTATATAAATTTATTTTATTTAATAATTCATAATTTATATCAAATTTTAATGATCTAACTATTGAATTTAAAATTTTTAATATATAGATTAAATTTTTAATTTTTTAAAAAATTAAAAATTATTTAATATTTCATTTCTTAATTCAAATCAACGTATAAAATGATTTTATAATTATCTATCAATTTGAATCAACGTATAAAATAATTTTATAATTATTCGTCAATTTGTAGTTTTATTTGTTTTAAATTGGTTTTTTTTTCTCAGATTACCAAAAAAGTATCATGTCATAAATTTATATTTTTAATTTCAATAATAAACAGTAAATTATATAAGTAAATAAAGTTTAAAGGAAAAATAATAAAGTTTACAATAATTTAGGGCTGTGTAATTTAAAATTATAAATAATTAAGATATAAATTAAAAAAATATTATGAAAAATGGAATAGTTAAAGTTGAGATTTGAGAAAAAATGAAATCTTAAAAATTAATAACCACATAAAAAAAAATATATTAATGTAACATCCTCTACCCGTACATCGATATTAATCATTATATTTACTCTATTTGATTTTTGATATATAAAGAAAACGTTTGCGAAATACCTCAATCAATAGAGAAAGTCACGTTCATCTGATCTTGAAAACAGATACTTAACAAATGAAGTAGGAAGTGTAAAAAGATGAACTCATGAATAACAAGAATTACAACTCCAAAACAAATTACATGACCAAAAGCATAAACAAAACAAAAAAAAATAACTAAAGATCCTAGTCTAAGACCTAGGTAATAGGCATGTAACAAAGTATTGTTTTTGCTCAATAGTTAGGGCCTCGTTTTCTGTTGATTTTTATTTTTCATGTATGCATGTTTGATGAATTGATGCTATTGAATTGATCTGGTTGAATGACTTAATTGATCTCTTTAAAATGTTCATGGCCAAGTTGTCATATTTAATTGATCTGGTTCATGTTTTATAGAAACTTGGGTGATTCATGATATTTGGTCCGAAACCATGTTGATTCAGAGAGGTTAATCGTCTTCATTTTTTAGAGAGGGTTCATAAAAAGAGAAGGAAATTATTTTTCTTTAATAACTTTTAGAAGGGACTTGTGAGTTGTGATCAAGTGTATTTGTGTGTGAATAAACATGCCAGTTGATACTTGGTTGGTAGCATGCCATTGAAACTTGAGTCTTTGAGATGAGATAATAATAATCGATCATGGTGAATAAACATGCCAAGTGTTGTTACTATTTATAAAAATTCATGGCTGAATTGTATTGCTGTTTCTATTATTTATGGCTAAATTGTATTGTTGACTATTGTTTAAATTTCAAAAAGAGAGAATTAAAGGTAGTTATTTATAAGAACTAAAAATCGAAGCTCACGTTGGATAATTTTTTTTTCATTTTCTCTAATTTTATTTATCTATTAATTTACATGATTATTTGATAAATAACAGGTAAACGAGTATGATTCGTGCAATTGTTTTGGAAAACTTTTCTTACCAAATAGCATTGTTGTTTCCAAATTAAGGCTATTCTTAACTTACGTGTGCCAGGAAAATTCTTAGTTTAGCTTACCAAATAGCATTATCAAAAATAGAATTGTCAATAGTTATGGCTGAATTGTATTTTAATTATTGGTTTAAATATATTTTAGTCCCTTAAATTTAAGGTAAATTTGTATTTAGTTTTGGAATTTAAAACTTTTTTTTAATTTTTGTAATTTTCGAAAATATTGTTTTAGTACTCTTAAGTCATCAATAACATATTTAAAAGTAACTAATTGAAACAATTATACAATATTAGTTGGGTTTAATGTGATGTTTTCACTAATAGAGAAAGTGGATAGATTTTATGTGATATTATTTAACAAACTTTTTGACAAATTTTGATAATAAGGATTAAAATAAGATTTTTGAAAATTATAAGGATTAAAAAGATCAATTTTAAATCTGAGGCACTAAAAAAATTATCTTAAATTTTAAAGACTAAAAACATATTTAAAACTTAATTATTTATGATTGAATTGCTAAATTGAATCGTATTTATGGGTGAATTGTATTGTTGTTACTATTTATACTATTTTTTGAATTGATAATTAATTAATAATATTAGTGTTACTAAATATATACTTTTTAATTGTGTTGGTTAGTAATGTGTCTTGAATTGTATAACTATGGATAAAAGAAGGGGAATAAATAGTATCTACAAAAAAAAATTGAATTTTTTTGAATAGTAAAGTAGTAATGTTAGTAGTAAAAAGTGCTTGAGAAAAGATAGATGAAACACATAATAATTTATATCAGTTTATTTCAACTATTAATATTACATTCAATTCTCAATCCAAATAAATTAAATTTTTCTATCTTTAAAAAATACAAGTATTTTTTTAACAATTCAATTCTGACTCAAACTAAGTATTCTTTGAATTGTTTCTTTAAATAATCTATCCAAATATTATTTCACACAAAGTCTTTTTGGACTTCAAGATCAAGGATTCTTTTAAGTCAAATCTCTTAAGAATCAGACTAATCTTTTTGTGGTTTTGTTTGTTTGGATTTTACAGTTTTAAAATTTTGTTATTTAAAAATTAAGTAAAAATATATAATATTATAATATTTGTTTAAGATTAGACGTAAAAATAATAATAGTACTAAAAGTATACAAACAAATTATTAACTTATTATTATTTTAGTAAAAATATTTCTTTAATACAACTTGTTTTAGTTTAGAGCGATTTCACATTATAATCCAAAAATCAAATAAAATTGTGCAATTTTGGAAATTTAAGAGAGAAACCAAACTACAAGTTTGCAATTTTCTATCGATTTATGTTTTTTGGGATTAGTTTAAAAATTTTCATTTGTATTGGTTTAATTTTAAACACATGTACTTTCATCTCAATTGCTTTCAATTTTTACTTTATTCAGACAATTTTATCCTTAAATATCTTTGTTATTTTTTTCTTTTTAGAGGGATATTTTCTCTCACATTTTCAAAGTTTTTTTTTTATCAACAATTATCTCTATACTCACTCAATACTTACATAACTATCCTTTCTTCTATTTTTATTATATTATATTTTTTATTTAAATAAAATATATAGAAATACAAAGTATCATATTCCAACTAGTTTCATAATAAAATTAACAAAAATTATACCAAAGATGTATACGTACATCATATTTTATATTCAATTAATTTAATGAATCATTATTGTATTTTGTAATAAATTATACATTTTTTAAATAACGTAAGGTCTATGTATATCTCCAAACATATGGTTAATGATTAACTTTTATTTTATTTTTATATTTTAAAAATTAAACAGAGACATTAGTAGATAATAATATTGAAGCATCTCATGAAATCAAAGCCAATCATAACTAATCATTAAACTTGGAGCATAGATTTAAAGTGTTTGATAATGACATGTTTATTAAGAAGACTATGAGGAAGATCTGAGTCAACAGGTGCATTTGCATTGACCAGTTTTTGGATCACAGAATAAAGGAGAGCATGGTAAGGGACAAGCAAAAGCACAATCTGCAGATGTTCGACACCCATCCAAGGTTGCTTTGCTCTCCACACACCTGCAAATGCCATTCTCACAAATACCCTTTCCTTCACACTTTGATAAAATTAAGTTGCATTCATCATTTCCATCACATTCACCATCACTCCTCGCCAAATCAAACCCTGCAAAATCATATAAATATTGAGTAACACTAATATGAATTATGTGTTTTTATACACTCAAATATTAAGATGTTGAAAGAAATTAAATACCATTGCATGCTATTAAAGCAAGAAACAACGTTGCAAAAGCTATCTTGATGGAAGCCATTCTAATTTTGAGTGAAGCTATCTTGACTTGAACAATAGTTTATATTCTCTATGGATTCAGTTAACACTTCTCTACTACACATTTATAGTACTAAATGACTTTCAAATGAAGAAAATGATATTATTTGGTATATCATCTAGCAAATTTTAGAGATCTTATCTATTTATTATTTTAATGAAAAGTAGTTAAATAAAGTTTGGTATTAATTATTCGTATTACCTTTTCTCTATAACAGATATTATCCGCAATTTATCTATATTCTACAAATTAAAGTTTTATTACCTTTTATTTTTATAAGAAATAGATAAAATTTTCAATTTTAAACCAGCAAAACTCCTCTAATAGTTGGGCCATTTGCATTACCGAAAATAATGTTCCAGATTAGTTTTATTATATTATAACAAACACGACTCCTTTGAATTAATAATTTTATTTTTTTAAAAAATTCATCTTCCTCTTCTCTTTCACTTCGTCTTATTTAATTTGTTCGACTTTCATCTTCCTCTTTTCTTTCATTAAAAATTAATTAAGATTGGCTTTGATTTCATGTGATGCTGCAATATTATTATCTACTAATGTAAAAATCACACTTTCGGTCTCCGTTTAACTTTTAAAATGTAAAAGTAAAATAAAAGTTAACGGTTAAAAAAAATATCTGAATAGTGGACAATTTTTGGATAGTTTTGAAAAGGCTAAATAAATCAAATGGTAGAGAGAGAAAGAGTGATTGAAAAGCTAGTTATAGGAACAAAATTATTAAAAAATATATATACGAAATAGAAAATTATCATTTATATTAATATATATATATAACTTAATTTAAAAAAAAATACTTTATAAAAAATTGCTGTTTTTTTTATT